TCGGGGAATGGGTCCTGACTGTCATCTGCACTTATGCGCCACGAGATTTGAATAAAGCACCAAATCTGCACTTAAGCTTAAATTTCAAAACTTACATTCTAACTACTGATTTTATCTACTGTTCTGATTTTATCTGTTTTGATTTTTGATTTTATATAGTGTTTTGTTTGTTTGTTTGTTTGTTTGTTAGTTAGTTAGTTTGCTTGTTTTAATCAATTTAAAATCATTGTTTTTGTTTCTAATATATCTGTAAAGCACTTTGAATCACCTTGCTGTTGAATTGTGCTATATAAATAAACTTGCCTTGCCTTGCCTTGCCTAAAGTATAAAATGTCATAGCAGGTAAATTGCAGACACAGGACATGAGTTGGTTGGAGGAGTATTAAACAAGATATATCTCTAAACAAATGTCTTATATCGTAAGGAAAAGACCCTACATTATTTTACTGAAAACCCAACGACCTGACATTCACCATAAGCAAAAATTCAGATGTGGTGGGTAGGAATAATTTAATAAGAATAGATTTCTGACGGAGTCATAGACATTGTAAGGAATAGATGTAGCTTCTGGAAAACAGCCTTCAGTTTGCTGTCTCTGTGACCTCAGTAAACACTTCTGATTATTAAGGGCTCAACCACTAGTTTCAGGTCAAAATTAATTAAACATGAAGGCCATTTTGTAAATTATGGTCATTATTAAATTCAGAAAGAAAGATTATCCAGGGTATGTTCATTGGCTAATGACTTGTCAATCACCATGTTCGGCTAAAAGCCTCAAAATAAGACTTCACCAACCAACTAGCGATGTTGTGTTGGCTACACCTATCTTTTATACTTGTTATGAGGAGCCATTTATGGACAGGGGAGGGGGCAGCCATCTGCCATAACTAGTTGGGGGTAGAGGGGAAAGTGAAGATTGACTTATTCTGAAGGTCAAATCACAACACCGGGTAAGGCATTAGCCATAAAATACTGTTTACACATTTCACTTTCTATGTTGCTGAATATCTGAGATGTTTTCTGATCTCCACTGGGGAATGTGAACTTAAAAATAATATCCAGTGTGGAGTGTTTTGTTTGTTTGTTTGTTTTACATGTCCAAATATTGACTGTTTGCAGGTGAATATTATAGTACCCAAGCACATAACACTACACAGGCATAAATATCCCACAATGATGATTGCTGAGATCTAACCAATGCTGTCATTAAAAAGTAAAAGTAAAAAAAAACAAACAAAGGCGAGAGCGAGAGGCAGGGTGCATCCTGCAAAACTAACTGAAATAAAAAATATAGTTAATATCTTGAGTTTGTCTCTGTGTTAAAATGTATTTGTACTGTTGTATTTTGATATTGAACTTCTCAACAATATCACAAACTAAATGATTTTGAGCAATAAAACAACTCAACAAACCAACTAAAACTAAACTGATTTTTTTTAAAGAACATAAATGCAAAAAAACAAACAAAATATTAGAAAACTGATAATAAACGAATAACTCTGGATCTTACATTAACTGTTATTTTTTCACTTTGTCAGACAAAATGTTAATCAAGACTCTCTAATGAAGAATTCTCTCTAATTGGCTAAACATTCTCATGAAGTGACATGTTATGACTTAACTAGTGCAGCTGAAACAATTCATACCTCTGAAATTCATTCAGACCCAGGTTAAACAATAGTACTGGATAATTAGACACAAGCTCTGACAGGCACAGCTGACAAAACCAGAGCAAACTTGTTATCCTCAAGATGGAGTAAGCAGGATATTGTGGTCTTAAAAACTCAATTAACTTTGTATTTGCAAATAAAAAGTTGTGTGTTCTATCACTCTCTGTAATACAAAGTTTCTCTGGAGCTGCTAAACCCACTTGATCTGTGACCTCAGCACTGAACTGAAGAGGAAGCTGATTGCTTTAGACGTGTTCTCCTGTGTCTCCTGTGTTTAGTTACTTAGACTAATTCTTGGAAGCCGTGTTGTGATCTGTGTCGTATGTACCTGAGTGTGTAGTTTGTCGGTGTGGTGAAGAGGCAGCCGCTCACACTTTAAAGGAAATCGTTACCTCTTAATTAGAGCATTACTGCAGTGATAAAGTTACACCTCCAGATAATGATGTGTCTATCGGAGGCACATACAGAGCTCTACCTCTGCTAACTTTCTTTCTTTTCTGTTCTCTTGCTTTGTTCATTCAACCTTTAGTCTTTTTTTTTTTTACCTCCCTCTATTCTTTCTCACCTTTTATTTTCTTTTTCTTGATTTCCAACTCTTCTTCTCACAGTTGATCGATTTTCTTTTTTTTTAATTCTGTTTTTTTATTCAAGCTGAAGTTCCACTAATGGCCACTTGAGGCCACTTCCAAAAGTGAGTCAATATCCATAGACTCCCATGTTAAAATGTCCAAACTTACAGCAGAAATAAACACGTTTACTTTAAAATAAAATGTGTGCCAACATAGGATGCACCAGCCAGCTGCTTACCTTATAACCTTTTAGGTTTAATTCAGCAAAACTAAAGCAAAAATGACGTTTTGCAACAAAAAAAAAAATGTTTTTGATGGCATGCCAGTTAGAATGATTACTTTTTGTCTCCTGGTTTCCAAGGCATGCTTCTGTCTTTTTGTCTCTCTTGGCTCTTCACCATATTCTTTGTATTTTTACATTTAACAGCTCTTACATACTGTGGCATCATGTATATCTGTGAGTCTGGTGACAGTTACAGGACATTCCCGTGTGTGTGTTTGCTGACACGCAGTGTTTGTAGTCTCGCAGCACTGACAGCGTCAGCGTGGCGCTCGGTGCTACACGAGGCCCTTCAGGCTTCCTCCTCTCTGCTGAGGCTTAAAATGGCTTCTGTCTCACATCTCCGTTTTCAGTCATGAGCTACTGACGCGTGTTCAAAGACGACAACAGAGCTGGAACATGGCAGCCGCTTCGCTTGCCTTCAAACCTGTTTACAATCGAGTGAGCTGAAGACAGTTCGCTATGACCTCATACCTGAACGTTGCTCGGTCTGTCAGCTGCTTCAGTCACTTTGCATCTTAATGGCTTGAACCTCTCCCACAGAATCCAGACCACTGATACGATTAAAAGGGTTAATTTGTGGTGTTAAACGATTGGCAGTGACTCCCAGTCTCTCAGTATGAGTTTAGCGCCTCTATAGACTGTTTACTGTGTTTTTGCTAGCTTCGGGTACTCTGTCTGATTCCTATAGCCATATTTCTTGTTATAATAGCTTTTGGTCTTTGCATCATGATAACATTGGACTTTCCAGCTTTGTTTTGGAGAAAGAAAACCACAAAAAACCCAGGAAAGAATGCCAGCTAACCTGAGCCCAGGAACATGCTAATGTCACATTAATGCAGGAAAAGTTCTAATTGATTTTCTCAACGCAATATTGATTCATGTTCGCATCTGTTTGTTGGAAGTACTGAAACACCGTATTGTTTGTTTCTGACTCCTTCACTATGTTAACTAGTTGCTATGTTTTCTGTTGTTTGATTTGAAACTAAGAATTTACCAGATTAATCTGCTGCTGTGTTCACTTAGCTAAGCCTCAAGAATTGCAGCCATCCTCCAACTAACACCTGAAAATGTTAAGTTAATCAGCAGCTGTCTGTGAGCAGATGAATGTGTGATGATCCACTGAGGCTAATGAGATCAAACACATTTAGGGCTTTACTAATAAGCTGATGGCTCAGGTTATATTTCTGTTAATTAGTCAGTAATTAACTGAGGCTGTTATAGAAACTTGTTAATGTGAAACATAATCCCAAAAGGCAACTAAGTAAAGGTGTGTGAACACTCGGACTGAGCAGCAGTAGCATTGATGCAGAGATGCTCCAGCATGCAGGAAGAGATGGTTGTTTATATGTGCTGTTTTCACTCTATGTTTCTGCAGTGCCTCCTCAGTTCCTCAACTACCCGACCAACACGTACGCCTATGAGTCAACCGACATCGAGCTGGAGTGTGCTGTGACAGGAAACCCGCCGCCGACCGTCCGCTGGATGAAGAACGGGGAGGAAGTCATCCCGAGTGACTACTTCCAGATAGTGGTGAGTCACTCAGAAAAGTATACGCATACAGTCCTTGTGAAAAATGTGGACACACCTACAGAGGTAAACTAAGGCCACCTCAGCTATGAAATACCACATATGGAGTTCTGTAGCAAATAAAAAAGTGTTAAAAAGTAGGCTGTGTTTCACATTTTAGACCATAGCCTTAGACGCGTCACCTGTTACTACACGTTATAACTCTTTTATCTTTTCACCAGTATTAATTCAATAGCTTCCAGCCTACAGTAGTTACTGTGTCTGTGTGTAAAATACCCATCTGAAAAAAGGGCAAACAGACTGTAACTGTAATACACATGTATTCCAAGCTTACTAGGTACATATTGTTAGTACTGTTTTTTGCCTTAAGAAAAACTAAAATTTTTGGTCTCTTAGATTTACCAAGGTGCTAGAAACAGAGGTTTTGGTCCGTATTAGCATGTCAGCATCACCTAGTTCCTGCAGATTTGTCAACTGCACATCCATGAAGCAAGTTTCTCATGCCACCACTTCCTGTATTGGCTTGAGATCTGGTGACTGTGGAGATCGTTTGAGTACAGAACTCACTGTCATGATCAAGAAACCAGTGTGAAATGATTTGAGCATTCTGACATGGTGTGTTGTCCTGCTGGAAGCAACCTTCAGATGATGGGTTTTGCTATGGTGCTCTGACTTCAGTCAGCAAGGCATTTTTGCCCAGAGATCTGCAGCTTGCTGGATATTTTCTCTTTTTCAGACCATGCCATAAACCCTAGAGACGGGCGCGTGAAAGAATCCCAGCAGATCAGCAGTTTCTAAAATACTCAGACCAGCCCACCTGGCACTAACAACCACACCACACTCAAAGTCACTTTATTCCAATGCTGGGTTTGTCTTCACCTTGCCTACATGCATGTGATTCCATTTTCCAGTAAAGAAGCATTTTAATAAACATAAACAGAATCTTTAAAAAAAACACAAATAAATAAAGCAGCACAGACACACCATTTTTTCCTGTATATGTTTTTAATGTGAAAAATTAAGCAGTTATAACAGAACCGCAGGGAGCTGTGAAATCAATGAATTTGAGAATTAGAGAGCGCGTTAGAGAGAGAGCTAGAATATGGACTCTTGTAATTGAATAATCCAATAATCTGGGTCATCCAACATATTCTGCTGCAGACATTTTTGTTCATGCACAGTTTTTGATTTGGTGTAACTGACATATTTTTCACTTGTACAAAGCTCTTAGCCAGACTCTTAATTTTCTGACATGTTGTTGTCTTTCTTGTGTCTTAGGACGGCAGTAACCTGCAGATTTTGGGCTTGGTGAAATCAGATGAAGGATTTTATCAGTGCATCGCGGAGAACTCTGCTGGCAGCTCTCAGGCAATGGCTCAGCTGCTGCTCCGAGAGCCAGGTAGGAACACACACACACACACACACACACACACACACACAAACAGCTTACACATGTCATATCCCTCTGCTGGTTACAACCTAAACATCCAGCTGTCATCA